ATTATTGGCTGATACATATGATAATATGACTATCAGAAAAGTTACATTTAGGAGAAAAGACAATTTGAAGCATAATTACATTAATATAAAGTTCGAAAACTTGAAATATGTTGTTTAGGGACACAGACATGTGAAGGAAGGCTTTCAAAAAATAAGGCAATAATAAACACAAAATTTAGGCTAATGATGTCTTCTAGGGCAATGAGAGAGGTAGAATTAAGCTAGAGTCTGCCAGGAACTTCCAACTCTTTTCCTTAAACTGGGTAGTGGACACAGATATTAATTTTATCATACTTTGTATATTATATTTTTCACAAACATCCCTTTCCAATTGTTTAATGAAAGCAAAATTTTAAGTAAGACATCCAGCAGGAACAATGTTGTTTTGATGTTGTTGTTATTATTATAGGATATTACTAAAGCAAGCATTGAAATAATTTTTAAACAATGAAGTGTAAAATAAAATGATGACAAATGATAGGCTAAATTGTTTCTCTGCAATTTACTATTTCAATAACCACAAGCATTATCCTAAGTGAACATGAAACAATGTTATCCCCTTAATTTGAAAAATTATGTTTGTAAAGCTAAAGTTAATATACCTCTAAAAAAATTACAAGTAACTGAAAATATTAATTTCATAGTAGTTATTCATTTATTTCAATTTGTTATAATCAATAAAGTCCCAAGAATAACAGAGAGTGAAAAGCACAGATCTCTACCTTTATGAACCCTCCTATGAGAATCTCTCTCCACAATTCTCAAGATCAGCAGCTATCATCTCAGCTCCACTGAGATGATAATTTAGGTCATTTAGGTTGTGTGTCAGCTTGGCTGGGCCTGATTGAGAGGCTGGGCAGCTGAATGTAGTTATTTCCCATGATGAGACTGGCAATCAATTCCGTGGTGGAATCTACTGGAGCAGCTGAGTAGCTGCTTTAGGGATGTGGTCTTCTTCTAGTATATAAGAAGCAACTTTGAGGAAAATCTGTAGCTTTTTGGCACACTTGGACCCTGCCTATAGCCGAGTCTTTATTCAGAAGCCTGCCATGCTCTGCTGATCTTGGGACTTCCAATGGACTTAAGTCAATGACCTGCCATGTGGTTTAGTAATATTAAAACTGTGCCATTTCACTTGCCAACCTTAGGTTGGTCACCCTCAGCATTCAGCAGCTGCCTGAGTGAAGAGATGCCTCTAGCTTCAGTGGGCCAAGAGCAAGAGGCAGAGACAAAGCCCAAGGTCGAGGAGCCTTCACCCAGCCCCGAGAGCCTGGCACTTTGAACTCAGACTTTCAGCCTCCCAAACTATAAGAGAACAAATTCCTGTTTGTTTCTTAAAGCCATCCCATTTGTGGTATATTCCTTTCAGAGCACCACTAGGTAGGTAACCAAAATAGTGCCCATGCAATAGGTTTCTACTTTGGATGGTCATTTCATAGTTTATATATCCAGGAACTGTGAATAAAACAAAATACACAGGAGAAATTCAAAACAAACATCAGTTATTCTACAAATTTAAGGAAGAACAAAAAAGGACAGTGACTGGAGATTACAACGGTATTGTGCATAAAGTTTGAACACTAATGAAACTAGAATCCACATGGGGTCAGGACTAATATGTCCTTCCTGGGCCATGTTTGAGGTCAGTGTCTCAGGAAATGCTGCTGTTGTAGTCTATACGTCTAAAAATATCCTCTGAACCTCTGCTTCAATATTCCTGTTCTTTGCCAACATCTCTGGTTTTAGACCTTGATCCTCTGTTTTTGTCCTGTCCTTGTGATGTAAATACCAAACCCAAAAACCAAACTCACTGCCTTCAAGTCAGATCTGACTCATAATGACCCCTCCTTAGGTTTCTGAGGCAGTATCTCTATGGAAGCAGATTGCCTAAACTTCCTTCCAAGGACTGGCTGGTGAGCTTGAACTACCAACCTTCCAGTTAGCAGTCAAATGCTTTAGGCACTACGCCACCAGAGCTCCTTGTGATTTAAATATTCTGCTATTTATTATACCTGGCGTAGGGTTTCTCCCCTACACACTTTCACTCAAATCTTTATTACAAAACCAAAAACAAAACTTGTGGCCCTCATACTGGTGAAACCCCTGAGACTATGACCTCTAGTCACCCAAAGGCCTGGAATTGAACATACTCTTGTGGTTTCCAGTCAAATAATAAACAGGCATATAAGGTGAACATTTAAACCAGATAGGTACACACCTTAGAACAATCAATCATGGGAGATCAGAAGGGTAGTATTTGCACAGGGAGACAGCTCAGAGGGCAAGGATACACAAGAAAGAAGGACACAGGGAAAAGGTTATCAGATGAAGGAAGTAGGAAAAGAGCTGTTACATTCTGGGAACTGCAATCAATGTCATGAAACAAAATACATATGAACTGTTGTATGGAAAATGAATTTGCTCTGTAAACCTTCACCAAAATCATATTTAAAAAAAAAAAAAAAGTAGGCTTCAATTCAATTCTGACTCATGGAACCCTATGCGTCACTGCACAGAAATAGGATTTTCTTGGCTGTAACCTTTATGGACACAAACCACCAGGCCTTTCTTCCACAGTGCCACTGGTGGGTTCCAACTGCCAACTTGAGGTTATTAGTAAAGTGAAAACTGTTTGTGTCATCCAGGGACCTTAGTCTCCTTACATTGTCCTTAAACTATAGAACACAGAAAAGTTCCACCAAACTCCACCTGGGCTTCCACATCCTCCTGTTGGGCCTAGCATTCTAGTTTCCTGTCTATGTGAAAAGACTGCTCAGATGCACTTTAGAAACATGAAAACTTCTGCATCTCTCAGAACTGCTGCGAGAAGTAAAGAGGTCAATTGGTTTAAGAAGATAGAGAGTCCTTTTATCCATAGCATTCCTCCTAATCCAGGAGCAAAGTGATGAGCTGGAAGAAGGAAACTGAATAACAGTAGGTCAGGTGAAATTTATTTTTTTGCAAAAGCAATCACTCATAGTGACAAATAGTTGAGTTATACCTGCCAAAAGAATTATTTCTCACCTCCTAAAATAAAAGACTAAAATGCGCATTGCTTCTTCTTGGAAAACAGTTTTCAGTCATTCTTTGCCAGAGAGGGGAAAAAAAAAAATCCAACCTTCAACATCTTTTTTATGAGGTCCTTCCTTTGCACCAACAAAATGTACTCCATACCTTCAGCTTTAAGTCATATGTAAATTATAGTATTTATTGTAGGTGTCCTACTTGGGCATATATCTGTTTAGTTTCTCCAGTAGACCTTAACTTCCTTCCAGGAGGGAACAAGTCTTCATCTGTATATTCCCCCCACCTAGCACAGAGTTACTGATCAAAGGACATCTGAATGAATGAAAATGAAAATAAATGAAATCTCATCTTTTATTTTCAAAAGTTGCTGTATTTTGACAGTCTGAACAGCTTGCTGTTAGTTGCTGTTGAGTCTGTTCCAACTAATGGTGACCTCATGTGTGCAAAGTAGAACTGCCGCACAGGGTATTCAAGGCCGTGACCTTTCCAAAGCAGACTTCCAGGCTTTTCTTTGAAGGTGCCTCTGGGTGTGTTTGAACTGCAAATTTTCAGCTAGGAGTCCAGCGCTTAACTACCTGTGCCACACTGAGACTCCTATCTAAATAGCTATAACCAGGAAATTGAGTAATGAGAAGAGTTCATCGGAGCTCAGAGAAACTTGGGAAAGATTTGAGATACAGCACATTTGAAGTAATTTGGAAGGTATTTCCAATTTCTCTTTAGACTCTTATTTATGGAAAAACAATAGTACTGAGAGGTTTTAGGAATATAAGAGAAATGACTAGGCAAAAGTTTGTTTCCCCTCCAGCAGCATGTGCTAGTTCAACACCTGGTTCATTCTGGAATATTCTCTGACTGCTCTCAGATTCTGAGAAATGAAGACAATCGGAGAGAGGAAAAAATAAAAACTTTTTTTCCCTTCTGTCTCCTCCTCTTTCATCATGCTCTTCTCAGTGTCCTTCCCTTCCTACATTGATGCAGGAACAACTTTCCGAGCTCCTAAAATTCCCAAATGTGACAGTCATGAGATCATTTGCATGCTGTACTGAAATAACACATTGTTCCATTCTTAACATATTTCAAAAAATAAGAAGAAATGTAGGATGGGAAGTCAATATCAAACTCTTATTAAACAGAGGCCAAATGCAATTATAAAACAATGGCAGCTTGGACCCAACACCACCCCCTGGCTGCAATGAACAACAAAAAGGAAAGTGCAGATTTTCTAACACTGAATCATGATACAATGGACACTTCATGGATTCCTCCTCTCTATCCTTTCCACATTCTTGTGCACACACTGCTCTTCCACATCCAAGGTCTGTTTCCAGGTCTAAGCCCAATGGATAGGGGTTTTAGGTGATATAGCACATAGTTACCTCTGCTTCACCCACAAGAAACCTGCCTCAGGTCCTAGCCAGGAGTCCTTCTCTTTTATACAACGCCTTTATTGTTCTGAAGTCACAGAATGCTACTTGAAGCCAAGGGGACATACCTCTCATTTTTTTTTTTTTTTCCAGTAACAATTAGATCACCAAATGGGGGCTTATCCAATGCAGGCATTTAAGGAAATAATCACTGTAGACAAGCTGAAAAAGTTCCAGGCTGAAGGAGAAGAAGAGAGAAGGGGGAGATGTAGGTGTCTGAAGAAAATAAAGATTAAGAAACATAAAGTCCAGGTTCTTTTCTTTACTGGGTAGAGCTCTCTCTTTCCATGAATAGCAGTATAATGTACTCATGAGGGCACAGGTCCAGGGTCAGAAACCCAGCTCTTGAGTCCTCTGTGTGGAGTTATTCTTTCCTTTTGTGTCTTTGCATAAATCACGTTAACTCTTTGAATCTTAGACCCCACATTGTAAAATGAGGATGATAATAAAATCTGTGCTCTCAAATTCAAAAATTTTTGTGAGAACAACATGAAAATGTTTTATGAACTATGAATTATGATTGAAGAGTTAGTTAGTGATCTGTCACTACAGCTGCTCAGGGAGGAAACCAAACTGATGTAAGACCTTCCTTAGAGATGATTTCACCTCCTTATTCCGGAGGCTATAAATCAAGGGGTTCAGCATGGGAGTGACCAGGTTGTTTAGGACCTGAACAGTTGCATTAAGCCAAGGGCTGGGGGTGGGCTGCAGGTAGATGAGGACCACTGGCATGTAGAAAAGAAGGATGGCAGTGAGGTGGGCACTGCAGGTGGAGAAGGCACGGTGTCGGCCTTCTGCAGAGCGGATCTGCAAGATGGAGTAGACAATGCGAGTATAGGAGGTGAGAATGAGAAGGAAGCAGCTGAGGGGCATAAGGCCCACACTGATGAATCCCACCATCTCCAGGGTCGAGGTGTCTGCACAGGCCAGCTTCAGCATCACTGGGATATCACAAAAGTAATAGTCTACCTCATTGGGACCACAGTAGGGCAATTGAAAAGTGAGAGTGGTTAAAAAAGTGGCCTGAATGCAGCCAAAAAATGAAGTGCCCGTAGCCAGGATGGCACACACTCTGTGGCTCACAATGACTGTGTAGCGCAGAGGGTAACATATGGCCACAAAGCGGTCATAGGCCATCACAGTGTACAGGAAACACTCCGTGCAGCCCAGAAAGTGGTAAAAGAAGAGCTGAGACACACAGCCTGCATAGGAGATAGCTCGGCTGTTCCCTGAGAGGTAGAACAGCATCTTGGGAGAGCTCACCGAAGGGAAAAAAATGTCAAAAACAGATAGCTTGCACAGAAAGAAATACATGGGAGTATGAAGCCGAGTGGAGGAAACAATTGCGAGTAAGATGAGCAAGTTCCCCATCAAAGTGAAGAGATAGAAGGACAAAAACAGGGCAAAGAGCATGGTCTCCATTCGCTCTGTGTGTGGGATGCCCAGCAGGATAAATTCAGTCACCACTGAGTGATTCCTCATTGCTGTGAGAAAGACCTCAAAAAGGATCTGAGGCCAATATCAAATTATCAAGCTTCTAGCTGATGAGTACATTGGCTATGTAAACAAGCAATAATCCTGTATTCATTATACTCTGCAAAATATCCGGAAAAAAAAAATTAGAAATCAGAATACCTGATTTGGTTTCTAGCTTTGCTGTTTCTTAGCTTATGAGTTATTACAATTTATACACCATCTTTCATAGGCATAATTTACCATCTACAAAATAGATATCCTTATTATTATAGAAACAACAGTAATAACAAAAATATCCTCTTAAGATCATGGTAAAGTTTATGAAATGTTTGTAATATGAATGTAGCAAAAGTATAAATCATCATGAAAAATATTCTTTCAGAGTATGTACCTTACATTTAGTTCTTTGAGTGCCTTGTTTAAGGTTAATTTTCTATAATTATTTGCAAATAAGTGTTTTATTAAATTAAATTATTGAGTAGACTTAGATCATTTCTTCTTCATATTTGTATTCTTCTGAAGTAGGAAGTTCTAATATTCCCAACTCTATCAGGTTCTTCTGGTCCTTTCAATGTTTTCTAAGTGGACTTCAGGTGATTCTGAAATATTAAAGGAAAGAAAGAGTAGCAGCAAGGAAAGCATTAAATACTTATCACTGTGCTCAATTAAGAAATACTTTGACCCACATAAAAGAAAGAACAATATTAATAAGGTTGGTTACAAAAGTCAAGAACAGAGTATGATATGTGGATGACCCAGAGATCTCTTCCTCTCATTACTTAGGTAATAATAATAATTTTAAAAAATACATAATACTTACAGTCATACTATTTTAATGATTATTCACTATATTCCAGTGAATGAGCTCAGTACTTTTGAAATATGATTTTTTAAAAAAGAAATCTATAAGGAGATAATATTATTAGTATACCTATTTTATAAATCAGGAGACTGAAGTTTACAAAAATTCAGTAAAATACCCAAGGTGACAAAACTAGTATGTGACAGAGCAAAGACATATCTGTTTCATTTCATTGTCCATGGCTTTAATCATTAGGAAAAACTGACATCTTACCTCTGCTTTCTAAGACACCTTGTTCCACTGCAAGGTAATAATGAACAAAAACAGACACTGTTCTAGATTGATTTACATAATTGCTTTATCCTAAGATGGGAAAGGTTTTTACATCTTACGTCTTGGTCATTTCTTGTCTTGACTTTAGGAGCACATCTAGTTAAGATTTCTTTTAATTTTCAAGATCAAGCAACATATTTTCCCCATCACTTTGACACTAGGTCTTAGTATCATCTATAGTATAGGACCTTTCCAATTTTAGAGCTGTATTCAACAGATTCCAATCATAGGAATGATATGTCGCAAGTTCCATGGAAATCAACTTTAAAGAGAATGGCCAAACCAAAATGAATGTCTCACATATAGTTCTAGAGTTAGGCAAAAAGAAGACAGCAAAGAGGGAAACCATGCCCTCTTTCCATGGGGTGGAAAGTGGGGGATGGGAGTGGAAGAATGTTGCTATAAACCTGCTCCGTGTTACTAATCCTAGCCACACCCAAATAGTTTCTCTGAGCAACTCAAATTACGGTGACCTTCCCTTGGTCAGCACAGATCTCAGAGGTCTTTTGTCCTTGCTTATGATCAGACACTGTTATTTTTTATGATTCTGTAATCCTGTTTGATTTTTAAGTCCATTGCAGAATGAAGAAGTCACCAAAGACCAGGAAGATACCCATATGTGAAATCATTAGTGAAGGAAGTGCAGAGCTAACAGTGAGACATGACGGCAGTTTGACTACTCACACTGTCTACCTGGGAACATAGTTGTATTTTCCTAAGTGTAGTAACAGGACCTCACATTTAGTGTTTCCAAGCAGAGCACAGAGTGCTCCAGCAAAAAGAGCTTCAATTCTCCTATTTATAATGAATTGAGTCTCATGGGGTTTGTACAATTGAGACCTATACATATTCACTCTCCCTGGATTGCATCCTCAGAACTTCCTTCAGATCCCCTTAAATCCTATTTGGCACTCAGTGCCAGCTCAGAGGGAGCAATTATTTTAAGTTCACCTTTTTCGTCATCCAACCCTGAAATAACAGTAATGAGATCATTGGAAAGAAATTGTTCTGCAGTGGAAAATACCTGTTTTTCCAATTCTGATTCTAACATTACCTAGAATACTGTCTCTTCAGTTGTCTTTCATACCTTCAAATTTTGTTCATGACAACATTTGTTTCATCACTTTTTAAATTATACATTCTTGTGACTATTTACTTCTAATAAACATTAATATTCAAGGCAGCAAACTAATTAGCTAGTAATTATTTATTATATATCTACTATCATTATGTGTCCTTCAGGTCAGTACTTCTAAACAGAAACATTGATATACTATGTACATCCATAAAAGGTGATCAGTATAAATTAAGGAACTGTAAATCATCTCAAAAGCAAAATGAATGACAAAAATAATAGCTGTTGTTGTTGTTGTTGTTATGTGCCATCGAGTCAGACCTGACGCATAGCGACCCCTCCTAGGGTTGCCGAGTCAGTATCACTACAGAAGTAGATTGCCCAACCTTCCTTCCAAGGAGTGGCTGAAAATAATAGCTACTATTCACTAAATAGTTCATTGAAAACACTTACTATGTGTTATGCCGAATTCTTAAATTCATTTTTACATTTCATCTCCAAAAGAAACTTTATGAGGTAGGTGATATTAATTGACAAATAAGCACACATTAAATAACTTGAAGAATGTCACACAACTAGGAAATAATTGAGCTGGAACTCAAATTTCAAAGCCAATTATTTTAGCCACTACGATATGAAATCTTCCAGATACTTGGTATCTCCACTGAAAAAAAGAGAAATAAATATTACTGTGCTCTTCAAATGTTTGTAGGGCTCTTTGATAGACTTGTTAGGAGTTGTTCCATACAGAGACCCAGAAACTATAGGCAGATTTATTTTCAATGAAGAAAGGAACTATTTAATAATTTTAAAAATAAAAATCAATGAAATAACCAATGGATAAGGCATTTGGCTGCTAACCAGAAGATCAGCAGTTCAAACCCACCAGTTGTCCCAGAAGGAAGATGGGGCAATTGACTTAAGTAAAGATTTACAGCCTTGGAAACTGATGGGTGCCACTATGAGGCAGAACTGACTCGATGGCATTGAGTTTTATTTTGGGTTTGGATGAAGTAGTTAATATATTTTCACTAGATGTGTTCAAGAAAGTGTAAAGAGGACAATCTATCAGATGTTCCATTAAGGAGGTTCTCAACTTAAAAGAGTAACTTGACTTATTTTAAGTTCTCATTCTGAAATATTCATTTTTATTTAGAGTAAAATTTTTCAATAACACTAATCTATCATAATAAAAATAGAACTTTGATTTGATGATGATAATTCTACAAAATCTCACAGCAAAAGCAATTATGAATATGTCCTTAAAAAAAAAAAAAAACTGCCATTGAGCCAATTCTGACTCAGTGACCCCCATTGAGTTGCCAAAGTGATAAATCTTTATGGAAGTAGATTACCTCATTTTCTTTCTGAGGAGTGGCTGGTGGATTTGCACTGCCAATCTTCTGATTAGCAGTCAAATGCCTGCACCACGAATGTGGCCTTAGTAGTTACAAAAGGGCAAGAGCGCTGGTGGCTCTGAGTTCTGTATATGCATTATCTCTTTCAATTCTCAGCAGAAATCTATGAAGCATGCATTACTTCCTCCACTTTCAGAGCCTTAGAAAATAAAGGCTCAGAGAGTCTACGTAACTTAAGCAAGGTAATACATTTGGTGAATTTTAGAGCTCTATCTCAAAGCCAGGATGGTGTAACTCCTCCCTTCAAGTCATAAAGAAAAATAAATCCATTACTAATTCTGACTTTCAAATAACCCCCCATAAATAATGCCATCTTATATTTGTGGTTGCCATACTTTTCCAATGCACTTTTATGCTACTTTAATTAATTCTCACAATAATTGATTCAACTTTATAAATAAGGACATTGTAACTAAGATCATTTATGACTTCAACTTAGACAGTAAAAGAGCCAGACAATATCAAGCCTAGCTCTCTTTCCATTACATCAGCACTGTTTCCCAAAAAGACTGCATACAGAAAGCAGCTGTCCCTGTGTGACAGAAGTATAACTAGATTCATTATTGATATTTTTAGAAATCTATTTTACATCCTCACAGTGATTATCACCTTTATCTTGTATTCTATGACCAGATTATGGACTCACATTATAATTTGGGAGAGAGCTAGAGAGAGATAAGTCTGTTCAGCTCATGGTATGTTTCATAAGGAATGAGTCACAGAGCTACAATGAAAATTCCACAGAGAGCTTTCTTGTGACCATGTAATTTGAAGGGAAATTTGTCTTATATTTGCATCATCCTTGTTTCAATTACTGTCAACAACTTATCTCCTTTAATTCCTTTTCCTTTACTCCAACTATTCAAGTCACTGGCATATTCTAGTAGCAACTGGTTTCTTCACTAATCTTACAGAGAAAAACTCTGATTATAAATAACAAAGCATTTCTGATACAGTAACAGGTGCTTTATTATTTGCTGGCAGGGCTGACATATGGGGCAAATAACCAAACATAAACGTAAGTTATTTCTTTTATTGACAATAACTCAGTGGGGAGAAAATAGGACTGGAAAACAAAAATAAGAGAGAGTAAGATGACTATTTACTGAGTAACAAATATATTAATGTGCGATTTTCTTTCTTTACCACACCCTACAATGGTGGGAAGGACTTCCTGGTAGGTATAAATGATTCACACTCTCAGTTGCTAAACCAAAGGTTAGAGGCTGAGTCCACCCACAGGTACCTTAGAAGAAAGGCCTGGCAATGTGTTTTGGAAAGTCAACCATTGAAAACCTATAGTGCACAGTTCAACTCTGACACTCATGTGGTTGTCATGAGTCAAAATCAAGTGGATGTTGTTGTAGTTATGTGCCAT